CCCCAAAACCCCAAAACCCCAAAACCCCAAAACCCCTAAGCAAAATTTTCGAATTGAAATAACTAAAACTAACCAAAAATTACTGCAGTCCATGCTCAAGAAAACTCCGATAATTAGTTCATAAAAGATCTGCGAATATGGCTTAATTTAACTGCGGATTTAAGCCCAGTTGAATTCAAGCTAAAACATAGACCCAATTTAAAGAAGATAGAGTTTATAAGCTAAAAATTAACAACTCTTTTAAAGGAACAAAGCTACATGAGAACAAGAAGTCAAGCTATAGAAGACACAAGCTCTTATCATGAGGATCATGAAGAATATGACGACCAAGAAGATTCAGAGGATCAAGATGCCAACATGGAAGATGACTCAAATCAGCTAAGTAATCCTGAGGATTCAGAGTGTTCATTTGACCCAGCCGAAGCACTAGAGATGATTAAGCACATTGGCATGGATTCTGAAAGCATCTTATATTTATACTCAGCTCAAAAGAAAATACTTCCAGCTCGCTTTGATTCAATCTACAAGAGATTATTATCAGCAGTAGACGAATTAGAACAGACTGACTGGAGCCAGCATTTTTATGAAGATTCTCCTAATTTAGTAGCAGTTGAACAATTAAAGGTCCTCATTTCAGAAATCTCTCAAAAATATTTAAGTCTGCTTATTTTTCCCAAGAAAGAAACACAAATGATTCTGAGAAGTCAAACTAAAGCATTAAGCAAGTGCTACCCCGCAATCATGATGCCATCTGAAGAGACAAAGTTTGCTGAAGAATGTATGAACAAGAAAGAAACTGGCATGAGCACCAAGCTTTGTTCCAGCATCTGCCAGAGCACTAAGAACTGGGATGTTGACTTAAGCGACCCGGGACTTATCTGAATCTCATCTAGAAAACGAGGAGACTTACTCTTCGCACAGAGAACTAAAGCCATACCCATCCCAAGCTGAAGTAAATTTGGACTTTACAGTGTCAGGCACAAGCAAAAGGAAGGTAACCGGATGCTGAGCGTCTCTTTGCCTAAAAGAATGGAAGATTTCGCCATCTCAAACACTGAGCTAAAAGACATCAGATATTGCATGAATACTATTGCTATTGCTGGTCCGAGAGTACTGAATTCCATCCATTTTACCAATTTCAGGATTGATGAACGCCAAGTCAAGAGGCTCTTCTCAGCATGAAAGAATATTCCAAGCGTGCAGTTCTTTCACTGAGCTTTTGAGTTTGAAGGTACCCCTTGCCTCTCCCACTCCCTCTCCAACACCTCTCTCACGCACCTCTCCTTCATCGAATGCGATGACGAAGACTACAGCTGCTGGATAGTCTCCCCACACAAATTCTCCAACCTCCTCCACAGCCTAGCCGCCTCAGACTTCAAGCACTCCATCCAAGAAGTCGAACTGGGCAGGTTCTTCGTAAGCAAGTGGTTTGTACAAGACGTCTTCCAGAAGACAGGATTGGGGACAGGGAAGTTTAAAGGCAAATTTGATGATGAAGAGGGTGAAGGAGAGGGAGAAGGAGAGGATGAAGAGTTTATGGATGAAGAGGATTATTAGAACGTAATTTTTTAGTGGGGTTTTCAAGAGAGTTTTGAGGGGTTTTGGGGTTTTGGGGTTTTGGGG